GGCTGTTCAATGGGGCTGATGTGTCAAACTCCTTATGAAGTGGTGAGCTGCCACATTGCTTTTCTTCCTGACTGCAACGCTGGTCCCGCAAATCAAGCAAGAACGTGATTGGTCGATATTCATTGTGGGGGTGGGGGGAGGAGGGGTGTTAGATAGATATAGAGTTGTAGTAAGTAGATAGAGTTCGCTTTGATTGAGGTTTCGTTTATGCGGAAGATTCTTTTAATTACATTTCCTTTTTTGTTTTGTGTATTTTTTACATTTTGGATTTGCTTGGTGAGCCATTTTTAGAACATGCCCCGCGGGCGACTAAGTGCCCGCGGGCATCGTGTTGGCTACCCCTGCTCTAGTCTCTCCTCCTCGCACCAACGTTGGAAACCCAACCACAGCGGTGGCGGCGAGTGTGGGACAGTGATCTCTCCTCTGAGGATGAGCAAGCAGCAGCATACGACTAAGCTGCAACTTTTCCTCATCCACGTGACAGAGGAAATCGATTCAAGGAGCCCTTCCGTAGACACAGGGGTTCCCAGGAGATCATCATGGTCTTTTTTTGGAAAGTGCCACGCGGCGTGATCCCACTGTGGCCAGGGACATCACACGGCAAGCAGCGGCGGCCACACCGTGGACCAGGATATTAATTTAGGATATTTTTTAGGTTCTCCGTCCAGCCTGCTGCCTGTGGGAGCAGATGTGTTGCCAGGCTCTCATCGAGGGGGGGAACGCCGGGATATGGGGTCTCCGTGCGGCCCCGCACCCTCAGAATACCTACCTTTCCTGCCACCGGCGCTCTCGCTTCCAGCGGCTGTTGCCACGACGCCTCCACACACTGCCAGATATCTGGCAACGGGGGCGAGACGAAAGCCGGTTGCGCCGGGCGGGCCGGACCGTAACCGGCTTTCCGGCAGTGATGGGGGAGCGATAGTCCGACACGACCTGGCGGGCAGACATGTGCGGTGGACTAGCGCCTATTCCGGACCCGGAAGTGTCAGACACCGATGAGGCGAAGTCATCTTCTTCCTCCTCAGCAAACAGAGCCATAACCCGCACGGCTGGGATGGCGAATGTTGGTAGCGTCGCCTCGGCCATATCCTGGTCTCCCACGTCCACCACCTCAAGCTCGTCTTCAGCGTGGTCTGGTCCCAGGCACTCGAACCAGAGCTGGTGGGGATCGGCGCCCCCTATTAAGCCGGGCACGAGGGACAGGCCCGGGTTTCCTGCAGTGGCGACTCCATTAGCTTGCCTGAAGGTAAGATACTTTTGACTTGTTTTGAATCCTTTTCTCAGGTGTTGGCCAGCTCGCTGAAGAGAAAAGGATGACAGTCAGGAGGTGTAGTAGCTGCCTTATATACTGTGAGCCTGTGCCCGCATTCAGGTAGGCTCACCCTGATTGGCCGGCTACGTTTATACAACTTCAGTGTGTGAACCAGTGGCGTAGCCAGGAATTATTGTGTGGGTGGGCCTGGAGAAATGTAGGTGGGCCAGGGGGAGACATATTAAGCGTGGGGTCTGAGCTGAAACTTCATTAATGATTTTAATGATTTTTTAATGCACTAATAGAACATAAGCATACATTAGCAGTGAAAACAAAAAACATAGGCACGGCGGCCTCAGAATGTGTGTAAAACTGACATCCACATAGGGATGGGTATCGTTAAGGTTTTAACGGTAATATTACTTTTAACGATAGCGCGTATCGATCCGGTCCTTTAACAGTACTTTTATCGGTTCTTTTGGAGAAAAAAATAAGGTAAACTAACTAAACAAATTGTGAACAAAACTAACATTGCTTTTTATTTAAATGAAATACATAATATTTCACATCAAAAGAAACAACAATGTTTTAACAAATCGTATTAAATAATCTGATGACAGAACTGTAAACAGAATAGCTGAAACTTTAACAAAATAAATAACTCAGTTACCTCTAATCATTAACCCATGTTTGTATAATGTAGTTAACTCCGTGTGTTGCTGCTAGCATACATAACACACAGGGTCGGCGTCATGGGGGGTCATTCGCGGGCCATGCCCCCCCAAATGAGTCACTGTGCCCCCCCAACGCAGGGTGGGCAAGCCTTGCCACTTTGCCGTTTAAAAAAACAACAACATATAATTGAAAGCGTTTCCACTAAAGGTTTTTTGTGTGAAATACGTCAGAAATAAAGAATACAACATTTAAAACACAGCCTGAGCTGTGCTCACTGCTGCTCTCTGATTGGTGTGTTGCTTGATCAATGACCCCCGACCTTTGTTTTGTTATCATTACGTGGCTGTGTGTTCAGATGAAAGCCCGGTGGCGATCTGTTCGTCTGTTACACTGATTATACAGTAAAGCCATCGAAAATAATATGATATACAGTACAGTACAAGTAGCCTACTTCTGGGTCTCTGTGTTTCATTCAAGCTCGGCTCTGTGTGTGTGTGTGGCACGAGCGCATTTTGTGAGTGCGCAAGTGGTAACGTGGAATGTTGATGTTAGCATGATCTGGTTAGCTAGCTATGCTAACGGATATAAAGAGCTGTTTCTACACCAAGGTGGAGGAGAGTCCTCTCCTGTCAGATTGAGAGGATCGTATAACCTCAGCTCAGTGAGGTAAGGACTCTCTCAGTGTTTAGATAGTTAACTTTAGTGTAGGTTATCTCAGTGGGTCTCAAACGGTTTGGTCACCATTTATGTAAACAAGTATTTGCGAGAAACACCTTTATATGATCATTATAGTTATTAAAGAATAAGAGAATAAATAAAAAAACGGGTATGAAATACTATAGGACAGTAACACAATAATACAGTTTAAAAGGGGAGTGATTAGTAAAATATCCATAAAGAAAAAGTAAATCTGTGTACAGTTCTGTTTCATATGGATGCTGAGAGATGTAGACTATCCATAGATCTCTTCATTTTGCTCTCAAAGTGCACCAGATTGATGCTTTTAACTTCAATATTTTTAAAATAATCTTCCCGGGGGAGCATGCCCCCAGACCCTCCTAGAGGACGTTAGGTCCACCCCCACCTAAAACATGTTCACATGGATAGGATACTAAATACATTTGCACACTTGTTGTATGGTGGCCTATGTCCATATGTTTCTGTTTTGGTGGTCGTGCCACAACCGTGCATGTATGCACAGGTCATAGGTGCGCTATACAATAGCACTACACCCCTGCAATGGGTGTGAAAAACAATATACTTTACAGCATGTTTTTTGAAGTTGCGTTGGTGTTTGTGTGTTGGTTGTTGACGGCAGTGTGTGCCCCCCCTTTGTAAATGATTGCCCCCCCATTCGATTTGTTCTAGAGCAGACCCTGATAACACATGACGTGGAAACGTTACTGGTGGATGGGGCTACAGAGCTGCTAGAAAGACAGCCGAACCCGGTGCATTTATCCGTCTGAATGTGGAGCACTTTTGCTTAATGTTTAGACAAATTGCTCGTGTTACCGCCCTTACATGCTAAACTCTTATTGCACTTTTGGCAACGAGCATTGTCCACATCGAGACGGCGGGTAAAGTTTAACCACACCTCGGAGCGCGTTCTCTCCGCCATCTCCTCCGTGTGTGTGTGTTGCTGCATGTGTGTAAACTGCCCCGCCCCCTCGCACACAGACGGGGGAGAGAGATCTCTTGTCTGGATTGGAAAGATCTAAAATACTAAAAATAATCACACATTTTGCAGTCTTTTTGCATATTAGAAACGGAGTTGGCGACACTTAAACTGCAATGTAATGTTTGTGTAGCAATAATACATATGACATATATCGGGGGCCACAGGTTGTTTATCCTTGACAGTCGCACAGTGGGCACACACTGAGTGTTTTCATATTCAGCAAATGTGTACACCCTAAACTGCAGACCTCAAGAAGAAATAACTTAAAGTTACTTTACTTACTATAAAAACTCACGGTAAAAAAATGCACTCCCTATTCCATTGTCATGAAGGTGGAATCTAACTATATCCAGAATAAGTTTTATTGGATCCAGGCTTGAAACATGTTTATTTCTGCTGTAAAGTTGGGCATTTTAAATTGCTCCTTTTTGCATCCATCCCCTGTCGGCCACTAGATGAACTGCAGTTTGTGGCACTTCCTTCTGGGCTTCCCGGCTCTGCGCTATGAAGCGCTGATTGGCTGTGGGTGGGCCAGACGTGCATGTGGGTGGGCCAGACGTGCATGTGGGTGGGCCCAGGCCCACCCGGGCCCACACACAGCTACGCCACTGGTGTGAACGATCGCATATCATTGATGAGAGTAGTACCCATAGAGTCCAGTAGAGGGCGGAGCCTGTGTGAGATAGCACAAGGGACTATGTGCAGTTATATCAATCAGCAGAAAGAAGTCTGGTCAATAAAGCGTCAGCTGTGGACAACCAAGATTAGTTTTCATCAGAAAACACAGTGGAACACCTTTCTATATTTGTGGAGAGCACAATACTTTGTATTCAGAATGGCTTAACTGTTCCCAGTAAAGAAAATAAAAAGAGCGCAAGAGAAGGGAAGGGGTTAAAAGACGAAGCACTGGAAGTCAGAGAAATCTAAAGAAGGAGACAGACATTTACGGCCTATAAAGCCTACACTGAAAAAAAGGGGAAAGTGCGGTTGTTCAATTTGCAAATATGCATTTAATATATGAAACATTTATTCATGTTTGTCGTCGAAACATGAATCAATCATGTAGAACTATTTTAATCTTGAGGGCTTTACGTTCTATAAGTCTCAATCATGTTAAGATAAAAGTTATGTTTGTCTCTGTAACTCCGCCCACTGAGCACATACGTCAGCAGCTTGCTCCGCAGCCGATTACTCAGCTTCTAATTATTATATACAAATATTTTATTCACAAATTAATATGGTCGGACTCAAACCCATACTTTAATAGTTTCGTAATTGAACCTGAACAATATGGCACTTTAATGGACAAAAAATTGCAAAATATATTTATTTTTAAAAATGTGAAGCTTTTTCTTTTTTAAACAAAGGAGGGGGGGAAGGGGTTCTACCATTTTTTCTTCCCGCATCGGAGGAGTAAGCTGGTTCTGTCCCGAGAACATCTCTACAAGGTAAAAGTTATTTAAAGTTATTTAATGTCATCAAATGTTCGTCATAGTTACAGGTTATCACAAGACGCATTGTTTGCAAAAAGCAGTTCACATTTGCCGTTACAACGAGCAACGTAAATACAGCTGTCAATTTGTAAACATTGTCATTCACTGGTGTTAGCTAGGATAAAGCCATGAAAATCATAAGGTGAGTTTATATTGATTGACTTGTGTTTAGCGTGTTTTTTTATACTGTGAGTATTTGTAGAGCGTAAGTCCGACAGTTGCTTGATTTACAATATTTAAAACTATGAACCTTGCCCAAAGTTATGCACATTAAACCGAGCTCAGGGGGGAGTCATATCTGATGGATGAGCTTGCGGCATGTTTGCATGTCTATAGGCTACGTCTTGTTTTAAATTATTGTTTCATGTCTGCTGTCAGGCGGTGTAGAACTTTACTGCGTTGGTCCGGCTCTGCATGTCTACTCTGCATGTCTACTCTTGTGCCGACTTTTAAGGGCGCTGATGCAGGTTATAGGCCTACCTTACGTTAAGTGACCATCTTTACCCATTTAATACGGAGGCCCTGAAGTGCAAGACACCACAGCATTTCACAAAACACAACGGCATTTCAGAAAACACAACAGCATTTCACAAAACGCCGCAGCATTTCAGAAAACGCCACAGCATTTCACAAAACGCCACAGCATTTCAGAAAACACCACATCATTTCAAATTGGACGGAAAGGGTATTCCTTAGGGAGAACACTTCTTGTTTGTGATTGGACAGAGCCAGCCAGAGAAGCACTGCTGTGATTGGTTGTTTTAGCTGCCAGTCAAGAAATGACGCTTCGTGATTGGCCCAACACATCAGCCGTTAGCTGTTAGCACACACTCAGAGCTCCCAGCTCCTCATATCTGTTCAGAAACTGGACAAAAGTTAAACATATACAAAACACAGACTGTCTATGTCATTTCGAATACAGTCGCTGCTTTATTTATGTCTGTATGACGTTGTTGTGAGCGTGGACGGATCAGCTACAGGTTAGTTTAGCCTGATCGATCCGATTCCGATAGGATTTACATGGAGATACGGCCCGCCCCCTCTCCAGCGTCTTGTTTGAATGACAGGAGTAAACACATAATTAATGCTTTATTAATTCATGGTTTTTAAGGGGCTTATCTCCATATAAATACTATGGTAGACTACTCAATATTCACATCGCTCTAATCACTCGAGTTTCACCGCGGCTGTCAGCTGTGTTTGCTCCTGTCATTCAAACAAGACCTGCTGGAGAGGGGGCGGGGCGTATCTCCATGTAAATCCTATGGGAGATACCAACTACAACAAAATAAACATTTTGACCGTAATTGAATTGTAATACATGTTTCAAAGTGATGCCGAAGCAACTACATACTGATAACGATTAGTAAAAACCATGAATTAACGCTTTGACAAGTCTGCAGATAAGACGGCAGGCAAAAAGCTTTTAAAATGCGTGTTTTCCGAATGGAATCGGATCCATCAGGCTAAACTAACCTGTTGCTGCTCCGTCCACACTCACAACAACATCATACAGACATAAATAAAGCAGCGACTGTATTCACCATGACACAGACAGTCTGTGGTTTGTACATGTTTCACTTTTGTCCAGTTTCTGAACCAACCTGATCTCATCAGAATGCGTGACTCCACCACGCAACCTTAACACCACATTGCGTGGTGGAGTCACGCATTCTGCTACATTTGCGTGTCGGCACCACGCAAAAAACCCCAATGTAAAGTGAATGAGGCTCTTTTGTCGTGGTGCACACACGCATTTCTACAACGTCCCGCAGTGAGCTTTTATTCTATAAAACGTTTTTAAAATCTACTTTATAGCTTGTAGTAACTCACGGGAGGCTTCTTTTATTTTATTTGTATTCATAATAATTTGTATTTGTCGTCAGAATGTATTATGGTGCATTAGTTACGAATTTTTGTTCTCAAAAAACAGTGCATTGTGTGTAATACAACTGTGATTTTTATTAAATTAGTTAGTTTTTAAGGAAGGCCAGAGCTTCAGCTGTGTCAATAGATTGTTCCCTTTAGTTAACGTTATTTAAAAGATAATGATCATGTCCCCTTTATTGTATTACGAGCGTCCATTCCCATTGGATAACGGAGAATTTTACACCCGGAAGTGAGTATTCTCTTTACTGTCGATTGATTTTACAGTGATATCTGAACTACTCATCAACTCAAAAACACCAGATTATCCTTGTTAATTACACAACATTGATTGGTTTAAATTGTGTACAATGCTTTTGTATTTTTCCCCTTCGATTCGGAGAAACGAATATTTGTTCGGAGTTTTTGGATGGAAGAAGACACTACACTACCCAGAATCCTCAGCTATCGTTTGGGACTACACCATGTGCTTAGCTTGACAAACCCCGTGATCAGTCCCAAGCTCTGTGATTGGATGTTGGAGTGGCAGTGCGCGAAGTTTACACGGAGCGTCAAAAAGCACCTTGAAATGGAATGAAACCCATCGACGGCACACTATTCAAAACAGGAATTGAACGTGTCCTATCCCCCCACCCCCCCTTAGGTTGCAGGCTCCTCCAACAGTGCAACACAATAAAACAGATACACAGAAAAAATAGTGAAATAGTGCAATAAGAGTCTATATACAAGATTGATTGGAATCTTTTTTAATTTTTATTTAACCTTTATTTAACCAGATAAAAGCATTGAGATACAATCTCATTTTCAATGCTGACCTGGCCAAGAAGTTAGCAACGTTACACATAACACATAACATACACATATAAAAGAGAACATAACTAAGAAAACAAAAGACAAAAAAGCAGTCACTACATTGTGAATATGATATATTAGATAAATAATTTCTAAGTAGCAGCCAGATGAATGTTATGGATGTTGTTTCTAAGTTCAGGTGTTTCATAGTCTCATGGCCTGTGGGATGAAGCTGTCCCTGAGTCTGATGGTTTTAGTCCGGATGCTGCGGTACCGCCTGCCAGACGGCAGCAGACAGAACAGTTTGTGGCTGGGGTGATGGGGGTCTTTTATAATCCTGAGGGCTTTCTTTAAGGTTAACGTGGTGTTTTTACTCCACTACATTTATTTTAGTTACTTTACAGATTTGGATTAATGATGTGAAATATAAACAACCCTTAAATCAGACTTTAGTTACACCTGAGTAAAATGCAGGGAAGGTGATTGTCAAGTGCCAACAATCAGGAGAGATATTTGATAGTTGGTGCTCGAGAAGACTAAACATTTATCTGCAGATCCGTATAAAGCATATTCATTACTCGTTATTCTCTAATCGTTCATTAAAGACTGCATATAATTGATATTTTGCACATCCCTTTCAAGATTTCAAGATTTTCAAAGGTTTATTGACATATCATATACACAACTACGGTGTAGTTATGCAATGAATGAAAAACTTGGGTCACAGGTTCCTCAACAGTGCATTACAAGACATCTATCAATATGTGTGTACCTCCACCATTAAACTGTCATATTCTGCACATTTCTTATACTATCTACATAAGAGTATAATTAATGTGTATAATATCAGTTAAAATAAATGCTTCAACATAGTTAACATTGCAGGAAAGTTGATTGTCAAGTTCCAAAACAAACCATGCAATATATTAGACGTTAAGCACTTTGTCAGGCTTAATATGTATCTGTAGATAGATAGCCCCAAAGCTTTTTTCTTATTTAAAAGAAGACCTTAGCCTAAAGTATTCTTTAATGTTTAAATAAAGCCTTATTAGTTTGTCTGTTTTGCACATCCTCCTATCAGGCACTAAACTGTTTTGTTGTAGATATTATTTACAGTATCTTCTTGATATTTTCTATTCTATATTTATATCATTGACCTTCTACTTTCCCACTATTTTGTATGTACTCTTAATATTTAAATGTTTTCATCAAATATAACACATTCAAAAGTGCTTTACAAAAATGAAAGACATTAAGAAAAATGCATTTTAAACAGTCATTAAAAAGCAACATAATCTTCCTGCATTGCAATTACTCCAAACGTGTAATAACGTGCTTTAACCAGTAGGAGGTGCGGGTTAAAAAACTGTCAAGTTTAAAGTGTTAACAAAATAAAATATATTGCTGTTTCTGGTTTAGTTTACGACGGATATATGTTGTTATTGTTTTGATATTTGTAACAAAAGCGATAGAAAAAACCCACAGCAACACAGAAAAGATGGTCTTAACATGACCCAGCGGTCTAGTAGTTAATAAAAAACAATAATATCAAAACAGATTATTACTACTAACTTTATTGTGAAATTAAAACAGAACGGTAAAAGAATAGTTTCCGGTCTATTCTGAAGCCCGATCTCTGTAGATAAATAAAGAACTACGATAGATGTGTAATATTTAATGCAGCCAAACCATTTATTACAATGCATTAATGTGATGACTTTCAAAGAGTAAAGCAAGCACTGCTGAATAAAGTATGATTTTATCTTTTACAAAACGTTTTTTTTCATATGGAATGCTGTTGGAGGTCAACCAATCACAGAGCTTGAGGACTGATCACGGGGTTTGTCAAACAGAGCACATGGTGTAGTCCCAAACGATAGCTGAGGATTCTGGGTAGTGTAGTGTCTTCTGCCATCCAAAAACTCCGAACAAATATTCGTTTCTCCGAATCGAAGGGGAAAATACAAAAGCATTGTACACAATTTAAACCAATCAATGTTGTGTAATTAACAAGGATAATCTGGTGTTTTTGAGTTGATGAGTAGTTCAGATATCACTGTAAAATCAATCGACAGTAAGGAGAATACTTACTTCCGGGTGTAAAATTATCCGTTATCCAATGGGAATGGATGCTCGTAATACAATAAAGGGGACATGATCATTATCTTTTAAATAACGTTAACTAAAGGGAACAATCTATTGACACAGCTGAAGCTCTGGCCTTCCTTAAAAACTAACTAATTTAATAAAAATCACAGTTGTATTACACACAATGC